ATATTCCCTTTGTCTCGCACTCTCATTCAAGTTTCAGTAATCTCCTAGATCCCCTTGCTTCAATTAGCACTTTATCTGCTGGGGAATAAATCCATTTACTCAATTTCTGAACGATATTGTTCAGTATGTAGAATATGGTTTTACACAGACTTGTTCAATGTATGCCCATATCTTCTCCAATATTACTTTGTAATCCTCACTAACAAATCCCAAAAACATTTCCATTTTCTTTCTTGTAAAAGGGTACCACTCCTCGTCGTCCGCCTGACTTAAGGGTAACAAATAGAAAGCCAAGTCTAAACTGTCGCTCTGGAAATGTAGGAACTATTAATTTGTCTAGGGTCAATGTAAAATTAGCAATACTACACAGTTATAAACTCAATTATTTCAACTGAGAAAGTGAAAAGAAACTTCAGTCCAACTTGATTTTTATCAAGAAAATGGTCAATAATTTTAAAGTGATTACAGTTGTCAATTTATTTTTTAAAAAATTACTTACATCCACACAGAGTATTTACTAGACAAAGAAATTACTTGTTTTATTCACTGAAATCAAGTAATTGCTTGAAAATACTCTAATTTCAGCAATTATATCATTTTATTTACTATACCCATTATATTTGTTTGTTTAAAGTAATCTTTTTATAACAATCTTAAAAGGTATATTTCACCTTTTAAGGCTATAAGGCACTACACTAGCAATAGAAAATGAAAAATCTCAAGAAAAAGGTTAAAATGCTAATTAATTTTTCTTTCTAATTAATCTTATGACATTTAATACCCCTAGTTGTAAGGTATAATCAAATTGTAAAAAAAAATAAGTTTTTGGTAGGACAGTTTCAACATATGTAATTAGTGTATAGTTAAAATTATATGGTAAGGACCAAGTACTACCCAGCAAGAATAATGTGGTTCCTAAATTTTTATATTAATTAACATTAATGAAGTGAAGATTTAAAATATAATCATTAAAATAGGGACTCAGCAGTAGGCAGGTCTTTATTTATCTACTTTTGTTTCCATTCCCCAATTTCAATTCAATCAACAAAAAACTTATGTATAAAATTCTAGCTCAATCAGAAAACTGCTAGATGATCATCACCTACTATAAAGTTATGAAAATTTGCCAAGAAACTCATTTCTTAGATGATTTTTTGTGGCAGATTATTCACCTTCATTCTGTTTCTTAATAAAGTATTTAAGAATTTCTTTGTCAACCAGGCTCTATGGTTGGAATAAATCATAAACTAAAACACAAGAACGAATACTTAGGATTGCTACTAATGGTCGATAACCCAAATGGATCATTAAATCTGTCCAAAACCAGATGAATACCACCAATTCTCCACCTTTACTTTTTATAAAAGATCCTTTCCTAAGAATGAGAATTTGGCTTTAAAACCTGAAACTTTAAAAAATGATGAAAACTCAGTTAAGTTAGTATTACATTTCTTAAAATTAAAAAATTTGCTAAACAAAATCTAAAAGTTGAAATTTAAATCTAGTTCAGCGATAAACAAAATTAAACATAGCGTCGATGAGCTTGAAGTTTTATGCCTTATAACCCTAACCAAAAACTTTAAACTTAATTATGTAAGAGGGTTTTTATCTATTTTGAACATAACTTAAAAATCAAACAATAACTAGTGTTCCTCCAGTCGACCACAATAAAATTATTAAAATTTAGATAACATAAAAATAAAACTTCTTTCTTTAAATGTTCTTAATTATTGGTGTAACCAAACAAGTATTACATTTACATACAATTTTTTTTATTTTGGTATATTACAGAAAAGAGAAAGGAAGAAAAATATATTACAATACATAGCAGTTTAGAAGAAAAAATAAATTTTCTGTTTATTTTTATAATTATTAATTATAATATTAAATAATAACTTATTGCATTATATTTCTTATTTTATATTTGTTTTTATACTGCATTATATTTATATATATTTTTTACTTTCACATATCTGTAGATGTAATATATAGTAAGGGAAAGAATTGAAATCGTGAACATTTTTTAATATGAGTTTTCAACGGAAATACATGTTTTGAGGTCCCCTGAGTCCAAATAACCATGTCCCACAAAATGGTCAGTGTGTCTGTGAACAGCCTAGCTCAAAAATGAAAAGTCATACGAAACTGAAATTGCATATTTGAGGTTTGTACATGCCTGGGATGTTACAGCAACTTTTTCGTCAAAATCAGCCAACCGGAAGTGCCACTTTATATCACCAATTTTTATTATTTTCTCGAAAAATGTTATAACCATTTTGATTAAATTCATTATATCAGTTTAAATAAAATTAAGCAGTTTGTAATATAATGTAGGTCTTATTTTCATTGATGTTAACAGGATTTAAATACCTAATTTTAAAAATATCTTTATCTAAAGTACCTTTATTTTTTTAATTTAAAATAGTTAATCACATCAATAACTGATATTAAAATGGTTAAATATAATAAATTAAGAAAATTTATTGCTATCTAAAGGAGAAATAAGAGTTGGAAGCAACACAGAAACAACGGATCCTCTCCCTTTACAGATATTCGATACCCCCCCAGTACAGGGATATCATATTTTTAGTTTAACGTCTATATATCACTTATCTATAACTTTCTAAAAAGATTTTCTCGTGAAATGTTGAAAATCTACTAATATTAACCTAATGGCATACAATATTTACTAACGTTAAGTTATTTTTTAACGAATTTCATGATAAATGTTTCCGATAAAACTCAGAATTTTTCTAAATGATCTATTTTTCTCCACAATCATTAGTATTGTTTGGTATTATACACAGCCGTAAAAGGAAATGGAAACTTAACTTAACAGATTCCTTGGGCAGGAAAACACAGTAATTAACTGCTTTAAATGAAGTTATACCTTCATTTTCACCTTGATTTCTCTATATATCAAAATACTTATCTCTTCTAAGCTTGCTAAGTGAAAATTGTGTGATGCACGCACCACACGAGATTTTTTATTATGTTATTATTTGTATATCCCTTTTTACTTTTTAGAATAGAATAAAATAAAAAATTGTTTGTAACTGTGATGTATATTTGTTTACAATATGGTGTAAACATTATAATTAAGAACATTTAAAAAACAATGAAGTTTTTGTTTTTATTTTATATAAATTTTATAATTATTTAAATAACTGCATCATGTATCGGGTCAAAAAGAGGCAATTGTTTGACTTTTCAATTATTTTTAAAACAGACAATAACTTTCTTACATGGTTAAGTTTTAGAGCCAAATTCTTACACATGTGAAAGAACCTTCTTTTAATAAAGATAAGAGTGTGGAACAGAGTCATTCACCTGCTTTTAGACAGATTTGATAATCCATTAGGGTCTTTTCACTAAGCTCTAAAGTAATGAAGAAGTGAAGTATTATCAATAAAATTCAGGCACTTTGTTAAGATACAAAAGAAAGCAACACAGGCTGAATAAATAGTATCAATATAAATCTAAATAAATTGTTCAATCATAAACAGTTGTACCTTCCTAGCCATCATACCATTTTTGCGCACGCATATTCTGTTATTAATGGAGAGATTACGGTCATCAAGAAAATTCTTGCCAAGAAAAACACTGTCACATTATTGACAACCAAAATTGAGGTAACTGCCACTAACACAATGACTTGATATTATGTAACAAAAACAAAGTATGTTAAACTATTTTGGAAAGTATGAAGGAAATTTTACATAAGAGTCTATAATATAGCTTTCGTTTGCTTCCCATGCTTAGCATTATTTGGGGAAATAATAGAGCAGATACACCTAAATCGACTTTACTACACGACTATACTAGATGACAAGCTCAGTACAAAGGAATAATAGACATATAAAAGCATATAAAATTAATAAAACTAAAAAAAGAATTGAACTGAATAAGCCAATCGCAATATAAAATTTGGATAATCCTTTACATACAGTATACATTACTAATTCATCAACCAATATTTACTAGGAAAGTAGAAAACTTCCACCTGCCTGAAACCCAGAATATTTAAGCCCATAAAACAGCTACTCAGTTATCCTATTCAATAATTCTCAAATACTAAAGCATGTCTCCATAAGTGGAAATGTGCAGAGTTACTATGAACCAAGATTACAGTACGATAGGGTACAAAATATAAATATTTAATGTGATCATTTTCAAAAATTAATATTATTAAAAAGATATATTCAGGATTAATGATCCCTTGGGGTGGTGAAACATCAAAATCTTGACTTAGTTTGAAATAATTATTTAATTTCAAACAGTTGGACACAGTTTTAAGTTAAAATAATAAATTGAGAAAAACAAGCACACCACAAAAATGTAATCAATATTTTTTTTAGCTGCAATAGTCAATGAATTATAAATTTTTTAATAGGAAGAGTACACCAGACAAGGCTGATATAGACCTAGAGTTTCTATTGTATAAAATATAAACACAGAATATAATCACTTAATTGTATTTAATCCTTAGTTTATAGTTAACTACTGTTTATAAAAACTAATAATAAAAATAAACAAACATAAATGCAAAACAGGTTATGTTTATTTCAAGTGACGATTCTTTCATAAAAAAAAATACACATGTTTCTAACTAAAAACAAACTCCAGGTTTTTCTATTTGCTGTTATTAATAAATAATTACCCTTCAGGAATTTTTCCCATTTCTAAGGAAAGTCACAAACCGCACTAATCCAAAAACTTCGCACGACTGTTCCCAAACAGCACATTTATAAAATGGAGCCTGATACTTTAACCCGGCTTTTATCAACGGTCGCGAGGTAAACAATTTGATCAATAGTTACCAGTTGTTATTGTAGACAATATGTGAATTTAATTCTCGCACTCAAGACTTATTATTTGGTATGGATTGGATCACGAGAGTGCGCAACGCCGAAAAAACTTCTATGATACAAGATGGTAAGATTTGAAAATTTACTTTCATTAAACATTTTAATATGTATTTATGTTACGTACTACAAATAAAAATAACAGAATTTTCGACAATAATAAAATTTGTGTCTAATGTAACTTGATGCAGGGAAACGGAAAGTGCACTATAAATTTCAAGATGGAGAAGAAATGGCAGAAGAATATAACTTAGATACCAATATTGTTTTAAGGAGAGCCTGGAAAAGAGGAAAAAATCTATCAAAAAAAAGTCAATGGGAAATAGAAGTAGGGGATCCAGAACCTGATACTTTATCATTAGAGGCAATAGGGCTCAAAGAAAATAGTAATACTGTATGTTAGGTTTTATCTAAACATACTTTTAGTATTTTGAAAATATTACATTGTCAGATAAATTTAAGTTTACAAGAATTCCATTTTGTTTATTTAATTATTATTTTTAGCCTTACATAATAAAAAGAATTACTAGTACTGCACTGGAATGGCGTATTAGGAATTTATCGTACCCGATTGAAGTTTATTCTGTTTTGGCAGATCCTGATAATAAATGTATTATTGTGAAAACTTCCAATAAAAAGTATTATAAAAAAATTACTGTTCCTGATCTTGAAAGAGTTAATCTAGTTCCTGATCAGAAGAGAATCGAATATACCTACAAGTTTGGCACCCTTATCATAACTGTATGTGTGATTAAAATAATATATATTTTCATTATTTAAATTAATGATCTGAACTTCAAATAATATAAATGAGGTGTGGTCAGGAAAGAGACATACAATACACGCAAATATCTGTTTAAAAAATATATTTATGTATTCTATTATTTCTTATTTCATTTATATATATTTTTTTATATTTGCGACTATAAATAATTAACTGTTCCATTTTTCACCATGTATGTAATTTTATATCCATTCTTTTTCATTCATGTTTTGCTTAGGGCTAATAAAAGCCTACATCTTAAGCTGAAATGTTCTCACCCATAACATCCTTATTGTGTTTTTCTTTCCTGGACGCACTATACCAAACATCTTTCCTTCGATTATATTTATAGTCAATTTTCATCTTTAAATAATATCATATTTAAATGGTCTGCTTACTATGATCTTTGATTGCTTTAATTGTCCTCCAACCTTTTCACTGGTAACACAATCTGAGGATTTTTTTTTCTTTATTCTAGGCATTTACTCCTCTTTCTTTCTGGCTTTGACAAACAAACCAATTAAGGAAATTACATGTTATCTAGTTCTATCGCAGCCTTTAAATTTATTTTTTATAATTATAAATTACTGATCTTTTTAAATATTTATTTTTTTTTTTTTTTAGTACAAAAAGCCACCAGAAGTGTTGAAATTGGAAAGGCAAGTACTAGAAGAACTGCAGAATGTTCAAACAATAAAAGATGGTGATCTTCCATGTAAACCAAGTTAAAATGAAAACAGAAGAACAATATATAATTGTTATTGTTTTACAGTATGACTAAATATAATATGAAATTATTGTTTTATCTATTCCAAACAGAACTACTTTTACACAGCACTTTGTGGATCACACATCCTTATATCCTATTCCATATTTTTCTGATATTATGTCAAGGCAATATATATTTTTTTTTTTGTTTATTTAAATACCCTAAAACAAACTTTTCACTGTGACTGATTTAGAAGCTGTTGTCAGTAAAGAATTACTTTTTTAAAAAAACTAAGTAAAATACTATCAAATTTCTCTTTTAACATATCTTGTAATAGGGCTGAAAATTATTCAATTTAATAATAATAATGAAATATTTATTACTAATAAGAACATTTGAGAGGGGGGAAACGTTAACCCTCTTTTATGTATATATTGTACTTTTATACATATGATTTAAATAAATGCTATTTATCAACATTAACTTTTTTCTGCAGAAATTCCCTTCTTAACTTGATCCTAATCGAATATGGATTTCTCCAATCTCATACCTAAGGGTTCATTTTGCATCTAACCTATATTCAAAACCTGTAGTTCAGACTTGAAGATATAAGATACAAGTTGTTACATTTGTTTATCTACTAATTGACAGAATTTCTTTTTTAAGTAATGTCCCAAGAATTGTTTGGCTACAGCTATTCTAGGTTATACATCAATAACTTTTCATGATAGAATAGAATAAAATTTAAAATTGTCAGAACTACTCAGCCATGATTTTGTTTGTTGAAGAAGCTAGTATTTTCAACCTAAATATTTGAGCCATCTTCAGGACAAGTGAAGGAAACAATTTACAAGCACCTCTTGCTGAACATCTACTGTATGTTAACGTTGCATGTACAATAAAAACATAATCACTAAGTCCTAACTAGGTATTACTTACAGAGTCTGAGTGAAAAATGGAGAAAGAGAACAATTAGTGGTAGAATTATTGTGCTGCAGATTCCAAAAATCTGTATTGCCGAGATGCAAGGAAAGATGATAATAAAAAAATAAAAAAACTTATGATACCCAGAACTGCTGATTATAAAAATGAAAAAAAAAATTAATTTACATACAATGATTTGTGGATAAAACATCAGTGAACAATATTTGTGGATAAAACATCAATGAACAATATTTGTGGATAAAACATCAATGAACAATATTTGAGGATAAAACATCAGTGAACACAAAAATTATAAATGATATATATTTGTTTTGAATTGTAATAAAGCAGTACATGGGAAACAAACCTCACCCTGAATTTATTTTATTTAATTGGTTAATATGGATAGGGGAGTTGTGGCTGTTACGGCATCACTTGTTCAAATCCAGCCTCCGTTGATTGAAATATATTCTGTACCATACCCAGGGAATGAATCTTGAACTTCCCACTCTGGCTATAAAAGGTTGTTAACCTGTAGGATAAGCACCCATAATACCAGAAATAGCCAAGCAGAGGGCTAGGAAAACGCAATAGTGATATATTGTACTTGACATAAACAACGATAATTTTACTACTTTATTATACTGTGGTAATAAAGCCTTTTATATGTGGATGATATAGTCCTAATAGCCGACACCAAGACCAAACTACAAGCTCTGGTAGAATGGAAAAAAGAGTTGCTCAGGAAAGGGATGCAAATTAACACCTCCAAGAGTAAAATGCTGTTTATGGCGAGGGAAGAGCAGGAAGATGTCCAACTGATCTGCTATTGCGAAACACTTGAGGTAGTGAGTGAATATACCTACTTAGGGACCATAATTAGTAGCTCAGGTAACATCAAAATATCAAACAGAATATTTAAGGCGAATCAAGTGTATTACGAGACTACTAATAGCAACATCGGCCACCATGAAGTTGACAAGAAGACCAAAATGCAGGTATGTAAGTCTGTTTTCCTACCTACACTCACCTACGGCCGAGAAATCTGGACAGACACTCTAGTAGCATAACGGCAGCAGAAATGAGGTTCCTTCACAGATCTGTTGGGAGAACTAGAAGGGATCGCATTAGAGAACAACTAGGAGTTACTGAACTTAAAACCACTCTAAAAAGACGGCAACTCCAGTGGTTTGGACATGTCTGCCACATGAATGATATAAAGTTATTAGAGGCTCAACCCACAGGAAGGAGATCACGCGGACGCCCAGGAATTACATACCAAGAGTATACCGAAAGAATTGGAAGTTAAAGAGGAAAAACCCTCAATGAGATGAAATGGCTAAACAGAGACTGGGAACAGTGGTTACTCTGGATCGATGCTCCTCGACACTACCTAATGGCATAAGAGGAAGACAAAGAAGAAGAGGTAATAATATAATGATAAACTCAATACATTTATCAGAATGGATGTTTTACTATCTCATATTAGATGGATTGGAAGGTTAGTTAATTTTAAAACTTGTCTAGTTTTTAAAATAGTTTACTTCGGATCACTATTGAATTCAAAGGGAGCTTTTGGAATTAAGCATTCTCCCCTGAAAACAGGTTTTTTTTTCATTAATTGGTCCATATTTGTATCTATTAGTTATCTGGACCAAATACTTCAACCAATCACAACATGTTATTTTATTTTTAATTAAGACACAGCTGCTAAATCTAAGGAAAAGTCAAGCAATTACCTTTATAAAAAAAAAGTGCAGTTTCAAAATTCACCATTACTTAAAAAATATTTAAAGAACCCTATAGAACTGAGATATTTTATCGCCTATATGTGGTATCTTGTCGTAACACCTATTGAAAACATAAAAGATTGCAGCACATTGAAACAATAATATTTTATTTATTCTGGGATGAGTCCCTTTAGAACAATAAACAAGGACAGAAATGTGGGCTTTTGAGCCTCAGAGATACATATTTACAAAGTAAACAAATAGATATAATAGAAAAACAAAAATATATAAGTTATCTTTTAACTTGAATAGATTAAGAAAAAAAATGAAAGAAACATAAAATGAAAATAATTGAAAAAAAAACTAATAATATACATACATATTTACAGAAATATCTATTTACAATTTTATAGGGACTGGACAGAACAATTGGAAAATGAATAACAAATTATTTATAATTTAATTGGATGATCCGAGCAGAGATTTGTAATGGGTTCACTAAAAATGTTCATAAATTTGGCTCTTTAAGTCTGTTCAGCTTCCATTAATCTCTATGTCATAAATTGATTTTATCTGAATAAATTTTCAGCCTGATTTTTATAACAACAATAATAAAACCAGTTGCTAAGTCTACATATAGAAACCCCTACTTATCAGGCTATATATGTATGTGAAGTACTCCGTTGATTCTAAATTATAAGATAACTCTGCTGAGACTAAAATAATAAGATTGATATGTGAATGGACTTTTAGGATTTATTGTATTTCAAAGAGTCGATAGCACATAGTGAGTTGTTACGAAGAAAATTTATTTTTTATTAATTCTAACATTATCACCATAAGTAAACCAGCAATCTTAAGAAAGCATTAAAGCTAAGCAAGTTTCCAAAATTTAATAGTATACTTACATAGTTGTTGGGGTAAGTATATTTTTGTATATACCAGTTGTTCTATATACATGAACCTGGAATTTGTCCTAAGATGGCTCTAGTTGTTATTGTAGTTACCTTTAAACTATATTATTGGTGCAGTTTTGTTTCTTCGATAGCAGGCAAAGATTTTCAATTCACAATAAAAGTTTCATTTAGCAGCATCATTTTAATAGCGTTGAACACATCACGTTTTGTGGCTACAAACGGTGATCAGCAGAATCATGTCAAAGCTTACAGTGAGCTCTTGGTAAATCACAGTGCTTGGGGTGGTTTAAAAATTCGAGAGAAGTGAGAAATAAACATGAAAGACCGTTGAAAAAATGGTGATATCTATTATGAAACGTTAAAACCTCAGAAAACCATTAATACTGAATGTTATCGACTACAAATAATTGATCTGAATTGACTATTGCGAGGAGAATGGCCAGTTTATAAAAAAAAAAAAAACACAAAGTGATTTAACTTCTGAATCACCATATAGAGTAAAAGAAACGATTGAGGCAGTTGGGAAATACTATGTGCAGCTTACTCAATAGATTTGGCTCTGTCTGATTACTATTTATTTACATCGATGGGGCAAGCATTTGCTTAGCAGAGCTTCAATTCATATGAAAATCTACAAAAATAATTTGATGAATGGTTCACCACCAAAGGAGAAATGGCATTCATAAATTCCCAAAGAGATGTGAAAAGGGAATAGCTAGACAATATTTGGAGTAATGTTTTTTAACATTTTTATGTTATATTTTTAAACAAGTATTTAATATTCAAAAATTACAGTCTCATATTTGTACCCAGTTTAGCTGGTGCATATAAAATAACACAGTAAAAATATTTATCTTGTGATTTTATTTTTATATCACACACACTACATCTGATTATGTACCAAAATAAAATATAAAATTGAAAGTGTGTTGGTATGTTTGAAAATGATTCATTTCGCCGCGTACTGATGATGGTAAGGAAGACCTAAGTAGTTTTCATACTGTCTAAGTTTCTAATCATGTTACACATGAATTAATATTCTATAAAGTGAACATATTTTTTTTATTACTCTATTAATTTTTTATATGCATGCACTTGGAACCCACAGTTTCATTGTCTGAATCCAGTAGAAATGAAAAACATAAAACATTAAGTAAGGGAGGAAAGGTAGAAAGTGAGGTATAACTCATTATACATGTCATAATATATGATAAACATTGGCCTTCTGTAATTTTGTGATTTATATTTCTCTCTGTTGTATATTTGGTAATATTTAAAATTTAATTTTCTCTTATCCCCAGTGTCTTAAAGATTTGTTTCTTATATATGGTTAACATATTCCTTTTACTGTATCTTAGACACATTTTAAGGTCTTGCTGAGCCTTTCTTAGTTTTCTTTATCTTTATTTCTGGACTTCAATCTGGATGATGGGCCTATTATTATTCTTTCATTTATTTCTTTTTCATGTTTTTGACATAATATATACAAACATATACAGTGGGAGGGGGGAGGCTCACAGTGAAATTCACTCTGTAGAAAAATAAAAAATAAATGCTTACAGTTAACAAATAAAACCATAAACAGATTAATTTATAACTTCAATTTAAATAAGTACAAACTCGATAAAATTAAAATATTCAACTGTGATTATGTGAAAAAAAAAATTGGGTAATTTTACATCACTATCAAGATGATACACCTCATTTCTTATTAACTTTTAAATAATATTAATTTAGCTCTATACCATGTAGGGAAGCCATTATTTTCTATCGATTCTTTCAGTCTATTTATAATGGAGTCAACCAATTTTTTGGTGAATTCCGGGCTTAGCCTGTTCCATTCTTCAAGGAGATACTTTTTTAAGTTTTTTTTGCTAGAAATTTTATGTTTTATAATTTCTACCTTCAATTTTGCCCACAGATGTTCTATCAAATTAAGATCTGGTGAATGTGGTGGTGTTTTTATAACATTGGGGTAGTTAGAAAGTAGCGATTCCGTAACTAACAGGGCAGTGTTTGGGGTCATTATCCTGATAAAAACCAAATTTGATTTTTAGCCTCAACTTTTCACTTTCTTTTCAAAAAATCTAGCTAAACATATTTATTCATTATATCATCTGTAAAGTGAAGATTTCCTATTCCAGGAACCCTGCCATACACTCCCACACTACAACACTGCCACCCTCATGTTTCATGCTTGGGCGTAAATTGTTTTTTGCAAGTTCTCCTGGTTTCCTCAACACCTAGGAACGTCCATTGGAGTTAGAAATATTAAATTTACTTTCAACAGTAAAGATGACCATTTTACAGAAATCGGGGCCCTTGAATAAGTATTCATTCACCAATTGTACCCTAACTTCTTTATTTTTTCTTAGAACATTCCGCAATGTCTCTGAACTAAACTAAGTTTTATTTTTATTATTAAATCTTGGTTCATTTTTTTCTCTTTATACACTAAGAACACTTAACTAGGAGGTTTATTGATAACAGTACATTATTATTTTCAATGTAATATAAATTCAACTATTTACTTATTCAGTTATTTCCTCCAATATTCAGGTGTATCATTTTGACTAGGAACCACTGTATATATACATACGAGTATATCATAATAAATATATACATAAATGTAAAGTCTCCCTTGGTTGCAATGTTTTTGTCTAACTCAGTTATTTTTAATCTAAAACTGCTCTTTCAATTATAGGTTACCTGAAGAAATGTTCTGGGTTAAAACACAAATATTAGTAACCTTTGGTTAAAAAGTGTTTTAATGGTTAAAATATTTTGTTTTGTGATAGATATTTTTTAATTATAAAAAGTTCTGAAACACTTTTATTTTAATAATAACTATAACTACTCCACTTAAAAAATCTATTATACTGTAAAAGTAAGATGGAAACTACATTAAAAATTGTCAATGATTAAGTTGAATCAGCATGATTAATTTCAAGTTATATTTAGATAAAAGAGGTTGTTTATCAATGATGAAACAAATATGGTTTTTTTTTCCTACAACTTTTAATTTACTTTAAAAAGCAAAATAAAATAAATAAATTTATAATTCAACAATTTCCATAAAAGAAACAATCTAATCTTAATATTTTTTAAAATTTTAAATATGATGAGGTTAATAATAAAACCACTGCAGTTTTTCAATAGATTATATTGAAAACAAATAAGAAGAAAAATATATAACATATAATTATCTATTATAATCATAAATATTTGAGGGTGGAGCTTCTTGGATTGCTTCTGGCCGATGTTAAAGTAGCCATATAAAACTAGTTAAATAAATTACACAACAATAGTCTAAAGTAAAGAGCAAACAAGACAATCCAGTAGCTTGTGACATATATACATATACAACCTATAAAAATCAATTTTTTTTTTTAAAACAATTTCAACTTCAATTTACAAAGAGAGCTACAAGATATTAATTGCAATTTCATCTAGTAAAATGCAAACCCTGTGTTTAAAAAAAATTAATAAATGCTAAAATCGCTTTAGAGATCGTGTGCTATAAGAAAAAAAAATTAAATTATAGGGCAAATAAAAATTCTTTCATAAAAAAAAAAAAAATTATATATCACTGATTTACAACTTTAATAATTTAAAAGTTGAATAATAACCTTCTAAAAGTTGACTAAATTTCCTCAATTTGTTGTTAGGAGTAACAATACTCAGTCCTGTTAACATGGAATGTGAAGCAAAACTAAAGAAAAAACAAAATAAAAATACTCTACCATAATGTTAACAAGGGTTGAAAGCGCATAGTAGGAACTAAGCCAACATAGCTAATTTCTAACAACTTATTATCAGCCTATATTAAATTATATTAAATACAGGAAAAACATTTAGTAGGGTTTATTAATATATACATTTAGTACCTTAATACATAATTCATCTTATTTATAAATGCACTAAAATCTATATCATTAAAAAAAAAAAAAAAATTATTCACGTAATACCGTTGATAAATTCGGGATAAATCGACATAAGAAGCACTCAAATTGAGGAAACTTATGAGAACCTTATTAACAAATATGTAATAAATAACAGTTATTAATACATATATTGTAAGGGAAAGGACAAACATGAAATAATGTGTCTAATTGTCAACATCCATATTCTCTTGTTTCCGTTGATCCTGTTCCCCATGGTGGTCATTCGTTTTACTGTTCTGATGGGAATCAGATTGGGTATTATTTTTCTCATTATCGCCAGCGGGCTCTTGAGGAGGTTCGACTTTTGGTTTAGGTTTGTTCATAACAGAGGAAACAGTGCTATCTAGGTTTTTCTTTTCTGATCTGATTTGCACAGTTGTAACTGGAGGATCCTGAGTTTTTGGGCAAGATGAAAGAGCAGACCTCTTTTCTTCAAGCCACTTAGCTGCAGAGATAATAGCTTCTTCAACCTATCCAACACAAAGATAAAAATAGTAACAAAGAAAATAAATATTTAAACAGCAGACAGTATGAGTTAATTATTATGAAAAAACATGAACATTCAGATACTAAACGAAATACTTAAAAGGAACTAGACAAACTTAAAATAAAATTACAATAAAAAACACGAAGACATTAGAAACAAATTTCTAATAAAATGCGTTTACCTAGAAAACACTAAACATAAAAAGTGTAGAAAGTAGAAGCTTCAATATAAAAATTCAATAGTTTCTGTGTTCACTTTAGCTTTAACTTCGATTTTAGTTTTGGTAATTTTCATTCATACATAAATAAACATAAACCTCCCAGATCAACAGGTCTAATGGGATCACAACTAAAGGTGCGTGCATTCAGACATTTTACAAACTAGAGAAGTACACAATTATCAAACTTAACTAACATCAGCATCATTGCTAAATTAGACTTTTTTCTTTATTTCTCTTGTTACTGACAGCAGATGGAAAATATCAAAACAAGAAACAAAAATACTAGCGTAATGAAATAACTATTAATATTGAATATTTAATAGTTAACTGTTGCATTATAAAGGAAGGAGATGGTCCGGGGTTGCGGTCATAAATAGTGGTAAAACTTATTTTATTGAAAGCCGATGTTTCGACACGACTTTGCAGGTCTTCATCAGGGAGGTGTGTTCATCTATGAGTTTTAGTTCTAAGTGAAACTCCTAGATGAACACACCTCCCTGATGAAGAGCTGCAAAGTCGGGTCGAAACGTCGGCTTTCAATAAAATAGTTTTACCACTATTTAGCCTATTTATGACCGCAACCCCGGACCATCTCCTTCCTTTAACTACTAATATAATTGGATGAAACAAAATTGTCAGGATTTACAGTAAAGAATTTTTATTAGGGTAGCTGACGTTTCGACCCGAACATGTGGATCATCCTTAGGGCTATCTTTTGGAAGTCTAGACAAGAACTTCCTTCTTGTCGAGATTCTTGTCCCGACCCCTATTAATATATTTGTTTGCTCCTTAATCTGTGAAATGTCTTAATGCATCTAAGAATAGCAAACTGGATGAAACATCATCATTAAAGATTTGATTACTTCAGTACAATAAAACAAGTATATTCATTAAATGAGCGAAAAGGAAATTAACACAATTATCATTTATACCTTAGACACTTCATCTGGTACGAGATGGTTATATTTCTCATCGCCAGCTCTATATTGACTCACTACTTTCTGAGACAGTTGAATACAATGGGAAAGTTCTTCAAGGGCAGCTGAACGAGATTCAAACTCCATCCTTCTATTCTTTATGGGCTCCCCAAACACCTGTTAAAAATGTTTACAATTTATAAACTCTAAATTAAATACCAATTTAACATGTAAATAAAAGTATATTTAGGTCTCAAGGATATATGATATATTATATTAGGTCTGAAGGATATATCACTTGATTCTCTGACAAATTGTTTATTGGTCTTTTTTTTTTTTAATTATTAACTAAGCTCTGCTCTCTGATTTTCATAATTTTTAAACTCAGATAATTTTTATCATGTATTGTCACACCTTCAATAATAAAACTCAAGGAGCAGGATTGAAAAACTTGTATTTGTTTAAAGTTTAGCGCCTAAAAGTATTAGTCGGTCAGAGATGAGTAACTTCCTATTAGTTTTTTCTTCATTTTTTTTGTTCAGAATATTGAACTCATTAAAATACACATTAATATTCATCAACAACTTGGACATATAACTTATAACCATGTACTTCAAATGAATTCTTACCACAATAATGTATAACAAATGAAATGATTTAATACCTAATCAAATGACAGTAATAATTAATTTTTTGACTCAGACAGACCTTGATAAAAAAGTAGTCCCTTGACCATTGGTTACAATATGTCGGTATTACACTCAACCATGAGGGTATTTCAGGATGTTTCCTCATTAAAACATGTAGAAAGATAAGATACCCACGTTCTACTAACAAGGTATGGTTCTTCTAGAGCCAATCCACAGCTCTAAGAATAACAATATTATATATTTATTTTATTATATTATATAAGAATTATAATAAGTCCTAAGCCTTATAGTCGTGGTACAGGACCCATTTTATCAAATTATTAATATCCGGCTGAAACTTTGTAAATGGCTTCATCTTGTCATAACCTACAAATATTATATTAACGAAAATTCTAGGAATAGAGGAGTTTTCCATCTGGAGGTCGGCAAACTTTATTTATTTAATTAGGTACTCATAAATACCAATTTGCTTTTCACATTGATCGTAAATTGATCTGATACAAAATCGATAAAAATAACGGCCTACAAAATAAATATCTATATTACCTCATTATTTTGAAATTTTGGGGTGTAGGTCTTGCCAAACGGCTTAATATTATTGAAGAGCACCTTTTCTCTCTAGTTTGCGCTCAATTTATCTTATGATTAAAGTGGAAAGAAACTGAGTATTTACAAGTCTGTAGTACCTAATTAAATAGAGGAAGTTTGCCGAACTCCAGATTGAAAACTCCCCAATTCTGAGAATTTTCGTAAATAAAATATTTGTGAAGCTATTTACGAAGTTTCAGCCGGATGTTAATAACTTTATAAAAAGGGGTGTGTACTAGGGTCAATTATTATGTACACTTTTTGAGATAACTCATAGTTAATGTCCTTGTCTAAAGCAATAATTAAGAGTCATTTTCTTTATTTACTAGCCGTATTTAAACAACTAAAATAAAATTTCAAGTACATCTGGGTAAAAGTGAATAGATAGTCTCAGAGATGAAAATGAAAAATGATGAAGTCTGGCTTAAATGAATAGAAAATGTATTTATTAGTTATTATAACCAAGTCTGAGCTTGAAAAAAGGCAGCTCAGAAATAATTCACCAGATCTTTTATTTCAAAATTAACACCTTAACACATAACCACTATATACTGGAGCTATATAAACATTTTCTACATCCTCTTTTCCTCTACTCACCACTTCAGCCTTATTATTTAACGTATCATTCTAAACTTCTTAATTTTATTTTTTTATCTAAATTTTATACAATTGATAGAAAACCCACAAGATAATTTGAAAAAAGAATTGATTACTGATCCACCCGCCTTTTAAAGAGAAATAATATGACAGGATCTTAACTCATACGTGAGTCCAATGTCACCAGAGCATGTATTTATCCCTTCTTGAATCAATAAGTCCACCGGCGGGATTAAAAACTTTAAAAAGTTCTTCCGAATATAAGCAAAGCAATAATGTGCAATAATATAATGTTTCAAACAAGCACGAGTCTAGGGTGTTTATTTATTTTTAATAAGATTTGAATAATCTGAATTATTAATAAATAATATTTTAATAAATTTAATATTATTTTATATACCTTTAACTCTGACAATCTATCGACATAAACCTGCCTGGTACAATCCTCTCCTTCTTCATATAACCAAGATTCCATATCATCCAGCTGTTTTACGTATCTGTGAAAATTGATAACACAGTTAAGTTTCTAGGACAATAAGTAACTAGGACACTTAAAGACAAATTTTATCAATTGATCATAATAAATTGAATACATAAATTAAAAAAAAAACTTACTTATCTCTATCACCAGGAATAACAAATGGGGCAAGTTCATCATCTGAGCTAATTTTTCCTCGTAAATCATAAACGTATTCCTCCAATGCATTTCTAGCATCTGACCTTTCCCTTTCTTGTTTATCATTAGCAATCAATTTGCACTACAATAAAAATAAGTACAATTTTAGTTCAATCAACATATCTCTACACCAACATAAACAATCATTGTTATAACTTTTTTGAAACTGTTTCAATTTATTTAAAGATTTCAATATTTAATTTTAACCCACCGAGTAACATAGGATCCTAAACATTTTAAAATTTTCAAATAACACCTGAAGAAATCAAATTTAATCTGATAAAGATAATTGTCAAATTTCAAGAATTTTAGTCTGATGTTATCTCAAATAATTAGAAAAGAAATCAGATTGTTTTTAAACGTATACAAAAAAAGAGAATGGGATCCTTTTGGGCCAAGATATAGTGTCTAAATTATTTTTCACCAAATTCTTTATTGTTTATTATGACAAAATTGTGACTACTAATGAATGCTTGATTTGATCTTATCCCACTTCATAGATTCTAACATAGTTTAATAAACTGGTGATTGATGCAATGCAATGATATTAAAGTAAAAGCAATTAATTTTTACTTATAAAATTTATTATTAAGGATTACACTTTGTTAAATAATTCATTGTCATAGTTAAGAAAATAATATATAAGCTTTTTGAGAGATCACCCCAACCTTTCTTCTCTTCAATTATTCACTACTGTCAACCATCAATCCACAATTATATAAGCTTTTGATTAATATATATTAAAATATTAGCACCATTTTGTAAAAAAGACTTAAAATGTAAACACTGATTTTCATGTCTCTTCTTTAAATGTGCCTGAAGATGGCGTAACAGTCAAAACATCCCATATTTATCGAAAATAAAACATAAGGTGAAAATTAATTCAGTATATATATATATATATTTTTTTTTTTTTCACTTTCTAACTTTATGGAAGAATCTAGCTTTTCATTATTCTTTGACCACAGTAGATTATATAAATATAATTTAAAAAGTAATACTTAATATCTGTTATGCAGTATTAATAATTAAAAATTGTTGAGGAGCATATTAGATTTCAAAAGCATAGCCCTTAACCCTTAAATAATTTTGTACAGAAGACAAACAAAAAATATCCATAATAAAATCCCCCTTATTTTATTTACCTCCAATTCTTGGTATTCGTTGAGAAGGGTCTGAGAATATCCATGGGTAATTGCATCTATTGGTAGATCGATAGTTTTGGTTATCTGCTTCTTTTTCTTGCCATCTTTTTTTTCTTGTTTTCCATTCCCTTTTTCTGATTCTTCCATCTAAAACAGAAACGTATTAGTACGTCTTCGTCAAATAACCAAATGGGCTGGTTAATGAGGAAGGATTTGGGCTTAGTTTAGAAATGAGCCCACCACAACCTATAGGTTTATGTAGAAATAAACTGATCTTGAAATAAGATAGAATAAAAATTCACAAAACTATTTTATTCTGTAACTAAAGTAGATACAATAGCTAAGCCCTAGAGTGGGATAGATTAGATAATAAGACTAAACCAATCCTCGATCCAATAACTTATCCTAAAACTCTATTGTAATAGAATTAATTCTATAACAGAATTATTTATTAAAATTTAAAATGAATACTTGAATTAATTAAGAGCTAGATGCACATAAACAAGGTATGATTATAGAAAGGATAGGCAAAATGGAATAACAGCAAATTTATTTTATTTTCCCAAGTGGCAAACGTTCATAAAAATTTGATATATTGACATAAAAACATTTTGTTTTTAATAAAAAAATTAGACTACTGGAATAATCTCAAACTTTCAGTTATAAAATTTAGATGTCCAGTAATTGTTTCTTAAAAAGTATAAAAACATAAAAGTTCAAAAAGACAATTAATAAAAACCAATTAATTTTTATCATTTAATATTAAGGTCTTCTCCCCATCATGGATGTAAAAACATTATTTTCTACTAAATATGTATAGTTTTTTTATGGTTTCAAATTTGGTACTTGTGAGCAACGCGGGCTTTATGCACTGCTCTCTGCCAATGTATATAACTTGAACACTGATAATCTCTATCTGCCAATGTTTATAACCTGAACACTGATAATTGTTATAAGGCACTTATAATCCCTATCTTCATATGAAATTAGACTCTCATATAATAAGAAATATAAATATATTTGGTGTTGCCTCTTTTTTGCCAGTTTCTTATTAATATATAAATATATATTAATAAGAAATATAAATATAATAATATAGTAATTTAATAATAAGAAATATAAATAACAAAAACACTTTAAATAACAAGATAACTGCAGATAACAGTCCATAGAGCCTGCGTCGCTCACAAGGACCTCAAATTTTTCTAGGCTATATTTTGCATCCTTGAACGGCTATGCAGATAGAATTTGCCATAATTTTGATTTTGTTTACTAATAACCCTTTTTTGGTTCCTGACCGTAAGAAATATTCATGGTGTAAAAAAAGAGGAATATTTAGAGGAAAAAGATTGTGTATACAATGGTTATATGTCAAATTTCAGAAAGGTTAATCAAAATAAACAATTTTCACTGTATTGTAAACAGCCAAGCTGGTGGAACCCAAGTTTTGGTTAAACTGATTGTCAGAGACAATCCTCATGCAGAAAATTACATTTCATCACAGAAACAATTGTGCATCACAAAAATCAGAAACATGTAAAAAAAAAGTTATATAGCTCCAATCCGAAAATTCAAGAACGAACGTTCAGATGTTCACAATTATGAAATATGACTAGTTGCACAGATATTAGTAATCATTGTATTTCCGCAAAATTATTGTTACAGAGAACCCCATTTAAATTACTCATTAATGTACCAATCGAGTGACCTGATTTAAAACACAAATATTCCTATAAAGCAAATGTGGAAAACAACGGCTCTGTTGATTTTTTATTTAAAATGAACACGCTAAAGATTTCCATCTTTTCAAACTAATTTGGAAAACTAAACATTGATCTAACAAAAATTATAGAGCATGATTGTAATTTAGACTTTTAATTTTTTTTTTTAACATAAATATTTACATTATAACTTCTCCAATAGGAATATGTCAATGGGAAAGGCAAAATTACTTTTGCCACTGAGGTGAATGAAACAGAAATAAAGAAATTTCCAATAAAGCAATAACTCCTAACATCCGTTGCCTTGATTGAGCAGATTTAATTGTACTTCTTTTAAATTCCCCTTGATTTATGAGACCATTTTCATCCCTTAAATCCTTAAGAAAATTAAATTAAAAATTTTATGTGAAAAAAATTGTAATTATGTTAAAACTACAACATAAGTCATTCATTAGCTACAAAAAAGATAGTGATTAATAAAAATCTTAGCAAAAACAATCAATAAAATCTTAGTAAAAAACAATCAATAAAAGTAATAATGTTAAAATAATTAGGGAATAGTCCATTCGTAAATTTAAAAAAATTTTAGTTTAAGAAAATACATTGAAAACACTTCAGAAACTGTATTTGTGGTATCAGTGGGGTAAAGTACTACTATCAATCAAAGTCAATCATCGCAATAGTTTGATATAATTACAAAAAAATTACAATTGCAACCCATACAGGGTTTAGGAGTTACGATACTCGATAAGGAAGTAACCTTAAAAGAAAACTTCCTACAAATTGACATTTCTTCAACGTTTGAAGGTACTCTCTGTTCATTCATTCATTCATTAAGCTGGAAAAAGGAATTTAATCAGGATCCAGATTTTTTCATAACGAATGAATTCATATTTGCTCAATGATTGTAATCAACCAAGGAGAAGAAAATTAATTTAAAACTTAATTTTGTGTTTCAAACCAACAAATTTATGAATTACAAGAACCAGTATCTTTACTAATGATGGTCCGAATTCGATGATTTTTTATGTTTTGTTTTACTACTCTTTCAAATAATTACAAAAAAAAAAATGTTATACTTTTTGAGTTATTTGCAAATAAAGTTTTTTTTTCCCCTGAAATTTTGGGGATTTGACTATTTTTCCCACCTGAAGGACAAGATCTTGAAAATGAGGTCTCAATCATTGGATTTGATGAAGCATGACAAATACATTTTATACCAACAAAAAAACACCTTTGAGAAATAATACATACACATTTTCAAGCATTAAAAACCTGAAAAGCTATAACTGTCAGCAAAGTATGTCAAATACATCACAATAAATTGAGACTTCAATACTACAAAATGAAAATAGCATTTAGACATGATAGAAATCCATTACAATTATCAAAAACTATCTACAGCGAGCAATGTTAAAATGAGCTTAAAAAAAAATAAGCTATGTGAAATTTCAGTGAACTACACAAATACTATTATTAACATCAAAACAAAAAATACATGTACATAAACAAATTACATTCCAGAAATCATAAAACCAAAAGTAAAACTTTTCAGCTGAGATTCTTAATTATTTTTAAAACAGCGAAAAATCCTAGTAGATGAGCATGCAACATTCTCATGTGCAAGATGTAACATTAAAATTTTCTTCAGAAAGAAAATAGTTTATGCATTAGCAAACACTATCACATAAGATATTTGAATAAAAGATATTTTGCAATAAGTGTTTAAGATATTGTTATTATTGTTTTAAGAAAGTATTAACTAAGTATTCAGAATCCAAATGAAATATTGATGAACATAAATGATTTCATCTTTAATTAACCCTACACTGAAAATTGAAGCATTCATCATCATGATCCTTTAGACATTATATAAATAATAAAAATTACTCTTATTGCATTGATTTTGAAATCCTAATAACATTAAACATTTCTTTGATAATAATCCTAGGATTTAATTTTTTATGTAAAAAAATATTCTCAATAATCTTATACAGCCTTCAAACTTCCTTTATAATTATAAAATTTTAAGTACAATTTTATCAAACAGGTAAAAGATTAAATTTGACATTTTTCTATTATAATTAAATGATTATATTTCAATTTGAAATATATTTGGGCAATAATATATCCACATGAGTTGAAAAAAAAACATTCATTATTTATAATAACATCGTTAATAATTTTATTATTGATCTTATTTTTAGCATAACTCTTAACCGAATCATGGATGATAGACAGATGTCTGAATTGTTAACCACATTGGGAAACTAATAAGTTTCAAAGGGTATGTAATATTCTTATAAATAAAATTATAATTAAAGAATTTGTTTATATTATTTTAACGTGCAGTAAAACTTTTTTCTATTCATATAAGTGCAGAACATGAATACCAATAGCAAAATAATATAACAATTAATAAATCTGGAAATTACTCTCTCTTTTAATTTAAATCTAAGACTTTCATCATACTGACTGGGTATAAAACATAAACATAAGCTCTTTTAATGATTAAGAAGTACTCCACATGCACTAAAGAAACAAAAATCACACTTTTTTCAACTGTTTCAAGTTAAATAGACAATAGACATGGTGTTTCATTTAAATCTTAATTAAATGAAAAGCAATGGCTTCACAAACTGGATGGTATAATCATGGGTTGAAAAGGTGATGACAGATAAATCATTATTCCTCATTAAGTACCTCGTGAAGTTGAAAATTGCAATAAGACTTAATTATGAAGAGAACAATGAAAAAGTGAGTGTCCTAAACCAGAACTGGGTAACATATCAAATAAAGTATTTTAAAATACAAAATAAAATGATTTTTTTTTTAATAACATCTTAAGAAGTGAAATATAAAATACATGGTCTGTAACAGCTATTTCTTATTAAAATACAGAGTGTTTGTTTTCTAAAATAGAAAAATATTTTATTTATTTAATAAAATATAAAACTGTATTTCATTCTGTATATTAAATACATAAAATAAATTACTAAACAGTGTAGATTCCTTTATGCTGTCACACTGTTCTCTGAACAATTAAAGTTTTCTATAATAGAAATACTTTTTGCCCAGGTCAGTCTAAAACATTCATATAATAATAATGAGGTTAATCTTTTTCTTCAAAGTAAAAGTATTTTAAGTTTATGAGAACTCAAGTTTTTCCTAGACTTGGTTTACAGGAAAAGATTCATACGGGAGAAGAAATTTACATCAAGGCCACTCGCCTCTCAATTTGTCTTATATTATGCAATCCATTAATTAGTTTAATGAATTATACAGCAATTACCTTGCAGATACAACTTCTTAACTTCAGATGACTCTGAATTTTCATTACGACTAATTAAATGATTTTGAGTTAATATAAAACCCTACTTATAAAACCCTACTTATTCATCTTAATTACCTATTATATAATATTAT